TGGATCAAAGAGTTAAGTGAAAAAACCTCAAACTATAAGAATCCTAGAAGAAAGCATAGGAGATGCCCTTCTGGATATCAGAGTAGGCAATGAATTCATGACCAAGTCCCCCAAAACCAATGTGATAAAAGCTAAGATAGACAGGTGGGACCTTATCAAACTGAAAAGCTTTTGCACAGCAAAATAAACCATCAAGTTAATAGAGACAACCTACAGAATGGGAAAAAATATCTGCAAGCTATGCATCTGACAAAGACCTAGCATCCAGGATCTATTAGGAACTCATGAACTGAAAGGAAAGAAAATAATAATAATTTAAAAAAAACCCAATTAAAAAATGGGCAAAGGAAATGAGCAAACACTTCTCAAAGGATGACATACAAGTAGCCAACAGACACATGAAAAAATGCTCAGCCTCACTAATCATCAGAGAAAGGCAAATCAAAACTACAGTGAGATACCACATAACTCCAGTAAGGATGGCTATCATCCACAACAGGTGCTAGTGCAGCTGGAGAGAAAAGGGGATGCTGCTACACTGTTGGTGGGAATGTAAACTACTTCAACTTCTATGGAAAACAGTGTGGTGATTTCTCAAAGAACTAAAAATTGAGCTTCCATATGATCCAGTAATCTCACTCCTGGGAATATACCTAGAGGAACATAAATTGCTCTACAAAAAAGATGCCTATGCACGCATGTTTATTGCCATGCTTTGCAATAGCAAAACCGTGGAATCAACCCACACACCCATAAACTAGATAAAGAAAATGTGGTACATGTACATGATGGAATATTATGCAGCCATAAAGAAGAACAAAATCATAAAGCAGTTACAAAAAAAGTTACAAAAGCAATAATTTGGATGCAGTTGGAGACCATCATACTAATTGAACTATCACAGAAACAGCTGAATACTGCATATTCTAACTCATAAGTGGACTCTGAACACTAGTCATATCAGCACAAGGGTGGGATCAGCAGTTGTTGGGCACTGCCAGGGGAAGGAGGAAGGGAGGAGGGAAGGGGGAACATGGCAACACAATGGGTATCTGGTCCTCTGGAGCAAGGGCCAGCTAGAAGCCCAAACTTCACCTGCCTGCATTCAACCTATTTATACAGCAAATCCTCACTTGTACCTCACAACTCTAAAATAAAATAAAATAAAAATAAGGAAGAAAATATATACATGTTATTCTATACAAATTAATTGAAAGAGAGAAACTGTATGATTATCTCAAGAGATACAGAAAGATCTCTTTATGAATTTAACATCAATTCACAATAAAAACTCTTAATTAACTATGGATCACAGTAAATAGAATTCATTCTAAGATGACTCCCAACATTTCTGTTTCCAGTTATAATCTTGGGTGGAACCATAAACACAGGATAGAGCCCATAGCCACAAGGATTATCTCCAGACCTCATAAGAAATTCAACATTTGTCTGACTGAACTTCAAAACATTTATGGATTAATTAATCTTTTCTCTTCTATCTTTTCCCTTTTGAGATGAAAATGTTTGTAATTTTATCTTATGCTGGTTCCATCATTATACAGTGAGAGAGTTAGGGTCACTTTAGGTTCCCAAGTCCAGAGAAAGAAATTATATTCTAGGATGGATTGCTGCTAGAAGACTCATCTGACCCTGTTTTAGATAATGAGAGTTTGAAATTTGTGCCATTGACATTTTGATGAGGTTTTAAAATGTGATCTGATAATGTAATAAGATGAGGGATTTGGGAGCTTGGGATGGGTGAATGTGTTTTGGATGTGGGGTAAACAAGAATTTTGGGGGGCAGTAATGAAGACTGTACTGTGGTGTGCAGAATTCTAAGATTATCCCTCAAGATTCCCGATTCTGGTATATACACACTTTCTCCCTGTTATTTAGGCAAACAGTAAGCTAGATACTACTTGGAGAGGTTTTACAGATATTATTATAAAATTATAATAAATTAGTTGATTGTAAATAGGGAAGTTATGCAGGTGGCAATGGTCTAATAGCATAAGCCATTCAAATATGGGTCTAGAGGTCAGAGACAGAGCAAAGACATTGCTGGTTTTGGAAATGGAGTGGACCATATTGATCAACTTTGTCTTTTCTTAGAACTTCATGAAAATTCCTAGAGTATATACTCTGTGGTGTCTAGCAACTTTACCTGAGAATTTTTTTGTTGCAATTCATCCAGATTTAACCAGACTGTTGAGTATATCATCAGTTTTTTCATTTTATTACTAATATGCACTGTAATAGAATACCACATTTGTTCATCCTTTCCAAACATTCTGCTCTTTTAAATAAAGTTACTATAAACATTTCTGTAGATGCCTTTTTGTAGACAAACATTTATACTTCTTTTGAAAAATGCCATTTATTGAAAAATACTTTATCCTCCTCCATTGAATTGCATCCATGTTATGGTCTGAGTAACGCTCAGCTGCTCCTCTTGATACCAATAAATCAAAGGGGCAGGGAACTGGTAGAAAGAAGTTTATTTCTGAGTTTGAATCCAGGGAGCAGAGCCAGACTCGAGGTCTTTCTAAAATGGTCCTGCTTACCCTCTAGGCTTTTATAGTTCACTTTTATAGTCCAGATTTGTTAGTACCTATAAATTAGCCACTTGACCAGCAGACCATTGTATAGAACTTGAGTTTCAGCCACATTTATCAATAGTGACATTTGTTGGTTCAGACTTCCTGGTGCCAGGTATCAGAAGTATCTCATAGCTTTTATCAGTAGGGCCTGGCAGAAGCATTAATCAAGTTTGCCATAGAGTAAATGGCCTAAGACATCATGCATTATGCAAAAGTTATACAAATCACAAAACTTATGATTACATTGATACAAGAGTTATGTAATTCACAAGGCTTATGATTACATTGATACTGTATTATTCAAACTTATAACCACTCAAAAAAAGGAGTAAAAGGAGATTTGCATCTTTCAGCGATCGGGCGTAGACTACAGGGAAGTCAAGGATCCCCTGAAGCTACTTACTGGGAATGCATAGGAGATAAGGGAAAGTGCACCTTTTATTAGCTCTCAGGAATATTGTTCAGGAATGTACAGGAGTATTTGTGCCCTTGCCATGCCCTTCTCTAGGAGCTGTGACGATATGGACAGACATTAGAGGGTGTCTTTATCATTAGAACATTCATTCAAAAATATTTGACCATATATGTATCTCTGTTTCTGGACTTCCTACTTTTTTCACTGATTAACTTGCTTGGTTTCACACCAACTGATTACTCTAGCTTGATATGACTCTTATAACCGGATAGTGAGAAAGGAGCCACCAAAATGCAGAGTGGGTCAAATTATGAGCCCTTTATTGATGCTGGTGACCGAGAGTGGACTAGTGTCCAAAGAACTCTTAGCCCCAAATGGAGTGAGTAGGGGGTATATAAAGGCAGAAATTACATAAGCTGTACAGTTTGATTAATATTTCTTGGCAATACATTCTATTATAAAGGGGTATGGATGGTTACAGGATTTGTGCAACTAGGGAGTTTCCAAGCACGGAGGGGACAGGAATGTGGGTATGCAGTGTGATTACAGGAAGGTCACATAAGGGGGTTATTTCTAGGTTAAGATGAAAGATCTGTTACAAAATGGAGTTACTTCTGTCAAGCAAGCTATTACAGGTTGTTACAGGTTTTGCAGATAGATATTTCATTCCCCCCTTTTAATTCCTCATGAGTCAATGTGTTGACTCATCCATCATAAGTATGTTATTATACTGGGGTCTCATATACATAAGTTTTATAGAATTGATTCATTGTTCGACAAGAAGAATAATTCAGTTTATTATGCAGGGCCCTATGAGCAAACCTAGGAGGAGAAGTACGAGGGGTCCAACTAGACCAGTAACAAGAGTTGTTAGCCATGGGTTCTAATCGAACAAGGATTGGATCCAGGATTTATTTTATTTTACTTTTTTTGTCATTTGTCCAAATTTTTTCAGACCCTTTGGAGGGTGTTTTTAACAACTCCTGCTCTGTTGGCATAGAAACAACAAGCTTTTCCAAGGGTTACACAGAGTCCCCTCTGGGATAGAAAAAGTAAGTCTAGGCCTTTACGATTTTGGAGGATAACTTCAGCCAGGGATTTTACCTGTTTATGGAGTTGGGCCATGCCAAATTTTAGGTTACCTAGGTCAGCATCAATTTCTTGGGCAAGGTTAGATAGGCCCAGTGCTCCACGAACCAGAGCAGTGGTGCTGATTGCAACTGTTTCTGCTACACTTAGCCCAACTAAGGCAGGTACTAATAAGGGAACGGTGCATTTTGAACGAGCAGTTGGAAGACTGGGGGATTGAGTAGAAGAGCTCCTTCAGGACCGCTATAAGCATAAGCCTGAGGTAGCACATGAACAGGAATATATAAAGTAGACTGACTAATTAACCCTTTTGGTAGTAACACATTTTGTAAGGCCTGTAGAACTAGCTAACCAGGTGTTGGCAGGGGCCTTGTAGGCCATGGATTCAGCCATGGTTAGGGTGAGGGATAAGTTACAAATATCAGAGAATGGAGAAGTTTTTAGATTGAAACCTGGAGTTATAAGACAGGAGGCTTTACCAGTTACATCACCTAGAGTAATGTGAACAATTTCTGGAGAACATTTACTTTTGTCTGCATTGCTTTTGATAGGAGTTTCAACTCCTAGGCCCACATAATATGGGAGTCTTGGTTTTAAGGAGAACCACATTGTTCATCCTTTCCAAACTGGGGCATAGTGGCATTAAGCAGATGGTACATATTAGTTAACATAGGAAAAGGACTAGGGGGTTGGCAGGCCAATTCTGGAAGCGGTGGAGATGAACTCAGGAACTGTTGAGGTGAACCCAGGGTAGTGACTTGGTTGGCAGACAGTAGAGGCTGAGACAGAGACTGGTGGTAACCAAAGAAAGGATTTTTCAGCTCTGCCAATGGCCCTATTGGCTTGGCCATGGCTTTGTAGGTAAATGTGCACCGTGGAATAGTGAATAAGGCACCATGGTTATAATTCTTCATGTAAAGTCGTATACCCCCGGTATTTCCTGTACTCCAGGAAGAATGGAGAGGATTAGTAACCTTTATGTATAGAGGCTGTTCTGGGCTGGCATTTGATCAAAGGGTGATTTTAGATGTGTTATTCGGACCCCCACTATAAGTTGCAATGTTGACACATATCCAGTCTGGGTAAAAGAAGTCATTTTCCCAATTACAACTACAGTCAGTGGGGTTACTGGGGCAGAGATAAAAGTCTACTTCCCTTACATAATTGGGAGTTGCCCTCTGTATACATGATTCAGTGTAGTAAGGGTTTTGTCTACCATACAGGTTTCCAGATAGACATTCTTTTTCTGTTTGTAGCAGGTCAGGAAGGTTTACCTTAAACTGGACCGGAGGTGAACCGTGGGTCCAGTTTTGGATAGCTAGGACCTCTCCTGTTGTGAAAGAGGTTAGGGAGAAAGAGTAGAGAGTATCTTTAGACTCTCCAGGTAAAATAAACTAAGTTAAATTTATTGTGAGCACAGTAGTGCAGTAACACATTCTACACATAGGAGATAAGATAGCATTAACAGGGACTTTTTGCCACATGACCAGTCTGTGACTGCCAATGCTATGCCTAAAGCTAGGGTAATTGGGATAAATAAGGCGAAGGTTAAGGGTGATAACAATACATTCAGGGAATTATTAACCAGAAAAAACAATCTATTCCAGGCAGCTGGAATCTCACATTTTAGTTGTGTGTTGATTGGTCAGCCTGTGGTGCAGTTGAAACAGGACGGCAGGCTTGGAAGGTGATTTTGAGAGAGTTTTTAGAATCTCTGACTGTTGTCCAGCTAGCTAGTTGAGCAGGCTGGTAGAGCAACATCATTGTTTTTGGCTTTTTGAATTCAGATGGTATTCTGCCAACCTTGGGTGCTGTTGGGGTGTTGAAGATGATGATGAAGGGTCCCTTCCAGGCAGGGGTTAGTCCTTTTTTCTGGAGCTTTTTGCCGAAGACCAAGTCCCCAGGCTGGAATGGATGACAAGGCGTGGCAGATGGAGTCGGCCAGACAAGTTGGACGTTGGAGTGGACCCCTACCTGGACCTGTTGGAAAGACTGGAAATATTTTAACAGAGACTGATTGGTAATTTTTTAAAGGAAGCGGTACATTGGAATGGGTTAATAAGGGTTATACTTGAGAAGTCTGAGTTTTTTTTAAAAAAAAGACAAAGTTATTTTTTACCTAGAGTATTTATTTTTCTAGGACACAGTCATTATTTTTATTATTGTGGTAAGATTTAGGAGCAAATTAAAAATGGCTTCTCCTTCTTGGTCTGTCCTTTTATTTCCCATTTCTGCTCTTCGAAATATTTTTATGATTCTGGGAACCAGGGCAAAGATCAGTCTTCTGTAATTGCTTCCTGCTGAGATGGGCTGTAGAAATGTCCCCTTCTTATGTATTTCCAAGGGCACGTATAGGAAACAGTGAGACCTTGACTGAATATTATTTGGATTTAATAAAATACCAAGTGAGAGCACAGGCAAAAATTATTAGGCAAACAATGATGAAAAAGGCCATTGACCCAGAAACAATACTGGATAAGTGAAAGTAATTCCATCTAAAGCCTTTAATTTACCAATGTAAGTTGAAATATATTTTTTGTAAATTATCTATAGTAGTACTTTATTAAGGAAATACAGTCCTTTTATTATTTTTTAGATAACCAGTTATTTTATTATAGAACAAAAATGTGCACATTAATATGTTGTCTATAAGTATTTTTATTAGTTTCCTAAGTTAGTATGGCAGTTGCTGCTAGGGTCCGAAGGCAAGATAGTCACCCTTTTGTTATATTGTCCAATGGTTTAGATAAGTATGTTACTACCTTTATATCTGGACCATACTTTTGTCCTAGCAGTCCCAAGTTTATCTCTTTCCTCTTTGATGTGTAGAGGGTAAAATTCTTTTGGATAAAACTATATGATTTCAACATGGATGGCCAGGACCAAAAGGCTGGCACCTGTGTTAAATTAAAAATTAATTTGGGCCAGGCTCGGTGGCTCAGCCTGTAATCCCAGCACTTTGGGAGACTGAGGTGAGTGGATTGTCTGAGCTCGTGGGTTTGAGATCCACCTAGCCAACTTGGCGAGACCTCATCTCTACAATAAATCAAAAATCAGTGGGGTATGGTGGCCCACGCCTGTAGGTCCAGCTACTTGGAAGGCTGAGGTGGAAGGATCTCCGGAGCCCAGCAGGTCGAGGCTGTGGTGGCCAAGAGCGGCCACTGCACTCCAGTCTGGGTGACAGAGTGAGACTCCAACTCAAAAAAAAATTAATTTGGTTTCCAGTGCCTTGGTTTACCTGGGGGGGTTGTTGGGGTGATGGTGAGCCAGTGCCAGGCAGTTTATCAGGTTTGCAGGCCTCCATAAGTGGCCATTATTTGTGAGCCAAGTGCACCTGCTTCTCAATGGCTTATTGGCCTGTACAGCAGACAAGGTCCAGGAAGTTAGGCCTCTTTGGGGCAACTATGTTTCCAGTGTCCCCACGGGCTATATCCGTGAACAATGGACACCATCCCCTTGGCAGGTTTGTTTTTACCATGTCTTTGATGGTCACTTGGAGTTTTGGTTGCTAATTGTGACTGCCAATTGGGGTGCCTCTTTGGTCCTCTGGTTTCTGCTCACCTCCATGTTGGCACTGTTTTATTTTGGCTAAAAAAAATCTTAAAAGTTCATTTTTAATAGGCTATACATATGGAACTTTTTAACCATTTCTCTGTTTGTGACAGTCTGATGCAAAGCCCTTTGGAGTGAATAAACCACATGGATGTGCAATGATATGTCCCTACTTATTTCTAATTATGAATGGCAAAGTTGTTAAAAACCTTTAAAAATTACTAAATTGTAGTTTAAGTTGCAAGGCACAAATTGTCCACATCTTACAACTAGAACCGCAATGCAGCAGCTAGGTGAGAATGATCAGTTCTCCTTTTCACTATGCTCACATAGAGTAGCCAGTACCTTATCTATTTGGCAGATGTACTAGGCGTAGGCCAGCTTTTAAATCTTACCATGTCATGGAAGGTGTTTAGCATTTAAAGCTTTACCTGTTTTATAAGATGGTGCTAATTAGGCACAACAGATAATTTGTTCTTTTGTTTATAAAATACAACTTTAGCAAGCCTGATATAACAAATAGTGGTGTTATTTAACATTAATGTGTTGATACATGGTAAAGTTGGAAATAAAATTTATTAGAGCATTTGCAAGTTTGGGTGGAAAAATAAATTAAAATTATAATTAATTGTTAGCAATTACAAAAGGCTGTTAGCAAATTTGCACTGTCTTTTAAGTCATAACAGCAGTTAGAACAGGAGGAAAAAATATAACTAACGTGATTGTATACCAAGATTTTTTTCTTTATAAATTCTCCTTTGCAATACTTATCTTGATTTTTACATACCATTGATGATGACATGCTTGGACTCTGTTGTCCCTCTATTTTTCCATATTATAGCTCATTTTTTAAATTGAAAGTAACTCAGACACTTAATGGACATTTAAAATAATTTTGAGATTTTTAAAAAAAAAAATCACATGAAGAGTTTACCCATAAGCATTGTTTTATTCTTATATATTTTTTTATAGCAGCTGGTTTAATTACTTATGAAAACTATTTCCTGGTCAATCTGTTTTTAGCATTTTACTGATAATTCAGGTTTAGAGGTTTTAGAACCAACAATTTTAAATTAGTCACACTTATAACAAAAGCATTTATATAAATAGAGATTACCCTGGTCTTGGCTAAGCTTGTAATTTTATAACATTTGATGAAATGTATGTTGACAGTTTTAAAGATTTTTAAAATATTATTATTAATCATTAAAGTCATATGCATTTTATGAGTACTCCTTTACTTGAAAGCCAATTTGGTAGCATGCTGGACAAAACATATAACAGGTATACATGTAAACATAATTAAACAAATCTAGATTTAATAACTTTATCTTTAAATTTCAGCCACAAAACAGCAACAAGTTTATTATTATTTTTAAGATATCCAAATTTAAATTATATTTCTGACAAAATTGGAATGAGCTTGCATGGCTAAACTTTGTTCAAATTGGTAGTTCAATAAAAGCTGTACAGGTTTAAATGATATTTACATTTTTAGTTAGAACTGGCTGAACTGTATAAGCAATACCAATGGAAAAGGGAGAAAGAAAGACAAAAACAAACTTAGAGAAAACTAAAAAAAAAAAAATCAAAATCAGAGCTCTGAAGCCAGAAAACAGAATTATGACCATAAACAGAACATACAAAATAAATTTAACCCAAGTGACATCCAGAGACCCTGTAGAGGGTCATCCAACATTACCAATTGATTTCACAGAGGATCTGGAGCTTGCCCTTTGAGAGACGTACTCCATAATTCTCTGTGAACCTGACACAGAAGTTCCTTAAAATACAGTCCAGGGGATTTGTAGGCTTGGAGGCCTTAGACCCCACACTGTTAAAAATCTGTAAATCACAGGAGGCACCTGATGAGAAGCAGACCTCCAATTACAAAAAGATAAGCAAAGGCTAATAAAAGTTTATAGCCTAAATGTCAATCTTGAGGTGTAGCAGAAGCAAGCACTGTAGCAAAGAGCACAGCAAGGACACAAAGAATGGAAAGGGGCCAACGTCATAAGCAATCAGAAGTTAAAGTGGGTACTAGTGTCCAAAGAACTCTTGGCCCCAAACAGAGAGAGTAGGGGGTATATAAAGGTGGAAATTATGTAAGCTGTATAATTTGATTAATATTTCTTGGCAATATATTTGATTATGAAGGGGTACGTACATATGGTTACAGGATTTGCACAACTAGGGAGTTTCCAATCACCAAGTGGATAGGAATGTGGGGGTGTGGTGTGATTATGGGAAGGTTACATAAGGGGGTCATTTCTAGGTTAAGATGGAAGATCTGTTGCAAAATAGAGTTACTTATGTCAAGCAAGCTATTACAGGCTGTTATAGGTTTTGCAAATAGATGTTTCATTACTTCAATAAGTAATTACATTTCCCAAATGCAATTTTTGCTTCCAATGTGCAGTATGAGTTCTTCAACCAGAGTATTCTTATAAGTTTGGAAAAAGAAGCAGTTTCCTTGGGAGAAGATATCTTTATCACTATTGAGGGGACTAAATTCCAAGAGTAACCTAGAGTATTTGTAAGTGATCTTTTAAAAATAGAGTCAAAATACTTGGAAAACTGACTTAATTTTCTGAACATTTTAGTTGAGATTGCATTTTAAGGGGATATGGGATAATTGTATCAGTCATGCATTTTCCTATTGTATAGTAATTTTCCAAAGGTCATTAAGTGCAATAAAATGTTAAGCAATATCTAAGGCTCCAAATTTTCTGAATGACTCTTATAAACTATGTTTTGATCTCACCTCTATTGTTTTTTTTTGAGTTGGAGTCTCACTCTGTCACCCAGACTGGAGTGCAGTGGCTGCTCCTGGCCACCGCAGCCTCGACCTGCTGGGCTCTGGTGATCCTTCTGCCTCAGCCTTCCAAGGAGCTGGAACTACAGGCGCGCACTACCACACCCAGCTGGGATCTCACCTCTATTAACAGTTGATATTTTCTGTTTGAAATTTCTAATTCCAGATTTTTTTTCCTTTCGCTATGGATTGTCTTTTTTCCTGCTATGCTGTAATGTTATAATGACGGCCCAGCGCATATGTCTGAACCTTACAATAATAGCCATGGTAAACAGCACAGATCCACATGGTTTGCCCAACACCTCCACTAAGAAGCTCCTGGATAATATAAAGGTATATAAAAAATATTGCCCACAGTCAAGAGTTTAAAGACATATCTTGCTAAGTAATTTGTGAGGAGATTGAATATTGTTAATATAACAATAATAATCGGAAAAAGTTCAAGTCTTGGCTCTTGAACTGCTCTTAGCTCAGTCTATTCCTCTCTTTGAGTGCACTGTTACTTCTTGCTTTTGCTAAATAAACTACTCTGCTTAAAAGAAGAAAAAAGAAAGAAAGAGTTCAAGTCTTCGTCTATGTTGCCAGTAGTTACTAAACAAATATGTTTTATGATTTAAGTATTTCTCAATATTTCTGAAGGACTTGTGTAACTCTTTCTTTGTGAGGAATAATAAAACCTAAAAGTTGGCACTTTCTTTTAATCAAGAAATTTGGAAGGGAGAAAAAAAGGGAAAACATTTTAAACCAGAAGTGAAAGGTATAGATATATCCTATGTTTTAAATTTTTGAACGAGTGCCAAGCAATAATGATGTACTATACTTTCAGGTACTGTACTGTAAGATTACAATTTTTTTTTCTTGAGAAAGCAGTATTTGTTGAGAGGACAGAGAAGCTCCCACAGTGGGAGGGGACCTGAAGGGGTTGCCGTTTTCTTTATTTTTTGTGTTTGTTTTTTATGTATTATTTGTGTGAAAAGTGTTATGAACCAATTACAGTACAATACTATATAGTTGATTGTGTTAGCTTGATACCTAGCTAACTTTGTTGGACTTATGAACCAAATGGACTTATGAATAGCTCTTGAAATGGAACTTGTTTGTATGTAAAGGACTTACTGTATAATGTCCTGCACTTTGATTTTTAAAATATAAAAATTATTGCCAGCCTCGGATGTGACTTATATGTAGTAATTATTACACATGCAATAGTTACTAGTCAAGGAATTTAAAATAACTATAATCAATATGTTAAGGGCTCTGGGGAAAAAGTAGGCAACATTCAATATAAGGTAGGTAATGTTAGTAAAGAGATGGAAACTATATAAAGAATAAAAAAAAATACTAGAAATAAAAAAACTATAACAGAAATAAAGTATGATTTTGATGGACTAATCAGTAGACTTAACACAGCTAAAGAAAAAAATCAGTGATCATGAAGATATTTTAATTAAAACTTCCTAAGCTGAAATGCAAATAGAAAAAGAATAATAATTAAAAATTTTTTAACTGGTCATGCCAAAACTGTGGACAATATCAAAAGGTATAACATTTGCATAGCTGGACTGCCAGAAAGAATAGGAAAAAAGAAATAGTTGAAAAAAAAATGACTGGGAGCTTTCTAAATTTAATGACAGATACCAAACCACAGATCCAAGAAGCCGGTAAACAGGATAAACAACAAAATGAAAAACAATCACCAGGATAAACTACATAGGCATACCATACAGAGGAACAAAGATAGGAATTACAGCAGACATCTTATCAGAAATCACTGAGAAGGAGAAAAAAGAGGTTTAATTATGTACATTTTAGGAAGGCAGAAGTTACAAGAAACCATAAATTAATAAATGTGGCGTTTTCATTTGTTTGACCTAGGAAGGAGGGACATTTCCAAATAGATGCTTGCAGGGTAAAGGCATATGTGAAGGTTTCTTGATTAGTGTGTAGTTCTTACCATGGGATACAATGTTTTGTTGAGACAAAGAGTGAGACTCTAGGTTTGTTATGTAGATGAAGTCCTTCATGTGGTCATCCTTTATGTGAAAAGCCTTCTCTTATGGATTACCAGACCCCCAGGGAGACTTCAGAGAGGATAGACACAGGTCTTACAAGTCTCCCTGGGAGTCTGGTAATCCACAAGAGATGGATTTTCAGGGCCATAATACTTTGATTTCCTTCTTTGTTATATGATGTTATGTCAGAGTTAGGTTGGAAAACAATAGGGTAATAAAACCCTCTTGGTGAGGCCTTGTTAGGCAGTGATTCCCTAAGATTCTTAGTTAGAAATTTGGGTAAGAGACAAAGTTCAGGTTTAGTCATCAGAGTTCTATCTTTTTAGTCATCAGAGTTCTGTCTATCAGAGTTCTGTTCTTTTTCTTGCATGCTTACGAAGGGAAGAATCATTGGCTAAGTTTATCGAGGAGATCTGAGAGCAAAAGCCAAGATTCAAGTTAAGAATGGGATCCTTAGTTTTTAAAGAACCAAATAATCTACCTTCCAGCTATGCTTACATTTTTATGTAGAAGTATTGGACCTTAAAGCAAGATATTATCAAAGATAACTTAAAATTACAGTGGAACATGTCAGATAAACAACACTGTGCTTTAAGAAGTGTATTTGAAAATGAGAGCTCCTGAAGTAGTCTTATTCAGGGATGTCTACTGATATGTAGAAGTGTAAAAAAAAAAAAAAGAAAATTCAATGTTTTCATTGCTTTTTAAAAAAAGACTATAAAAGGCAAAAAGCTTAAGTGGCTAATTGATATGAAACATAGAATCTTCTAACCTTTTGTCTTAGTTATAATACTGCCCTGAAGGTGAAAAGAAAGGTATTCTGGATAAAATGTTTATAAAAAGTAGACCATAGGTAAAGCAGACTTAGTTCTTTTTCAGATCTCTCCATGCTGAGTACAGGCATAGAGAATGCTCTTTGCCCCATTCCTTGATGAACTCCAACCTTAACTCAGTAATTTTAGCTATGAAATAGCAGCTAAATTGAAAAGACCACCTATATAACCAAAATACACCTTTCTGGTATTTCACTGACTATCCCGAAACTCTTCTGTAAAAATAAGTTTATTGTTTTAAATTTTCATAACAAATATACCTTTGTTTAAAGTGCTTTTCCTGGCCATTTCATCTTAACCAAACTTTTGCTTACACCATTTTTTCCTTAGTTTGAGCAAACAAAGCTGCAATATTTAGGCCTAAAGTCTTAGCTGTATGTTTTTGAGATATAAATTTTTGACTTTGATTCACCTAAGAGTTGTCCCTTTAAAAATGAAAATTTAGGATTGCTTAGCTAACAATTGCTTAGGACAATGAAACAAGTAATGGGAAGCTTGATAGTCTAAATGGGGAAGTGAATATCTATTTAAAAGCTATAAGACCTGCTTTTGTCTATGTGTCTGCATGTCTATATGTCTATAAGTGTTATATGTTCCTAATAATATTTAGTAAATAAAACTAATAGTAAATTTTTTTGTAAAATAGTAATGGCTTCAAAATTGTCAGTTAAATATAATTCAATACTTGCTTGATTTGACTGTAAGCTCATGTTTTTGGTTTTGAGTCTCTCGATTTGGGGGTCTGAATATATGGCCATAGCAGAGCCTGGGGATGTGTTTTCAGTGTCCAAACCAGCAGCTACAAGGCAGAATCAAGCCCAGCATGGCTTCTTCTTTTGCTTTGCCTGCTGGCTATTCTGGGAGAGGTTCCATGATGCAGGCATTGTCTTCTGTGCTGAGCTTCGCACCTGGTGTATAAACCCAGGATTTAGAGAGGTCCTATACCTTATAGCCATCCTGGGTGCCAGATGACTACTTAATACCCAGGATCACTGGAAAAAACATTAGGGAGTGTACCTGTGTCATCATTTCAAAATTATTTTTGGTAATATAACATCTTAAAGTTAAATTAAATGATAGATAATCATAAAATTTCTGAGTCATTTGTAAATTAAAACTTGACAACATTAATTATTAGATATAAGTTTAAGTTTATATATTTTGGTGTATTATTATATGGTATAGAAAAGCGAAATATATTTAGATATGTTAATGAGCAATAATTTAAGGAAACATCTCTGAAAAGTTATAAAATGGTTTTCATCTACAAATACTGATACAAAACAATTCAAAATTACTTCCTAGGGTTTTCACTAAAAATTAGAATTACTAGGAGTTAAAATTATAGTTAATATATATAATTGAAACTACTAGATGTAAGAAAAACAATTGTGCATACAGAGTACATAAACAAAAGCAAGATATACTTTTGGTAAGAAAAGTTATAAAGGTATGAAAATGTGTGTTTGTTATAAAGGAAAATTTATAAAACAATCTGCTAGTTTGAAGTTACTTAAAGACTGTGTCAAATTGAAGAAATAAAAAAGATGCAGATAAAATTAAAATATAAAAAACTAAAAGGAAAAAGTATAAAACAATTTCTAAGATATTATAAAAGGTTTATGGAAATCTGGTACAATCAAAAGGGGAGTGAGATTGGAGAGATTTGTATAGTATTGATAATGTACTAATATAAAAGTAAAATTTGATTTTCTTCTTTGAGCAAAAATTTTTGTAGCATTAATAAAAGACAGGAAAATATTTTTGTTCATCTTTTGAATAATACACAAAAAATTTTTTTTAAAAGAGGAGAGAAGGAAAGACAGATTCTGTCTCATGCTTTCTCAGGTTTTTTGACCAAGTATTTTCTCTATCAAAAAAAATTGGTTTTTAAAAATCTTTTTGCTATCACTTTGGCTAAACGAATGACTATTATTTTGCAATGGCTTGTCATTCTATTTTGATAAAAGGTTTTAAACCTCTTACATATCAGTTTCCCAAAATCAAAATCCAACTTCAAACTTAATTAATCATTTGGACTGGTTAAGAATTCTCAGAACTCTAATGCAGAGACTGATTGGTTTATAAAACTACTAACCCAAGCAGGACAAAAAGTAATTGAAGTCTAAGAAAATATTTTCTCAAATATTCATGCTAAATCAGCTAGTACTGGAATTGTTTAGATATGCAATTTGAATGAATTCCATGGTCCAAATGAAATTACTTATGATAACCCATGCAATAAAGAGTGCTATGCACTTATATTGGAGAAACAAAATTGGTTTCTTTTTTTGACCTCTAATTTTGGGATGCTACAGAGTGCCCCTGCAGAATAAAAAAGAGAGATAAATAGGATCATTTGATATGCTAAATTACATGAGAGGCATTGTCAAATAAGAAATAATGTTTAACCTTCTTCGAGTTATATGTTTTTGAATATATTATTATTATATATTCAAAAATTAAGTTGGATTCCTAAAATTCTGATATGTGTAGGTATATGCTATCAGTCATAATTATGGTTATTATGTAGACCATGGAAATAACCAAATTTCCTTGTCAGTTGTGTTTTCAACTATGGCCATTTAAAGTCATTTCCACAGTTAATTGCTAATTCTGATGTAGTTTCTAAAACTTCACAAGAAAGCAAAATCCTAAGTATTGTGTCTTTTAGGAAGTTCATGAAAAGGAAGGAAAGAATCCTGACAAGTACTCTTAAATACACGTTTCTAATAACTTTAGGATCATATCATCTGGACTGGTTAAGAATTCTCAGAACTTCAATGAAGAGACTGACTGGTTTATAAAACTACTAACCCAAGCAGGACAAAAAGTAATTGAATTGTAAGAAAATATTTTGCCAAATATTCATGCTAAATCAGCTAGTACTGAAGTTGTTTAGATATGCAGTTTGAATGAATTCCATAGTCCAAATGAAATTATTTATGATAATCCATGTAATAAAGAGTGCTATGCACTTATATCAGAGAAACAAAACTAGTGTTTAAGGGCATTAAGTCCAATATTAAGTGTGGACTCATGGAGAGCCTGGATGACTGTCCAGCCCATCTTGAGTCCTTAGAGCTTCCATTATTAAAAGATGTGCTCCACTACTCAGCTGTCAAAAAGAATGAAATAGTGTCTTTTGCAGCAACTTAGATGGAATTGGAGAACATCATTCTAAGCAAACTAACTCAGGAATAGAAAACCAAATACCACATGTTCTCACTTATAAGTGGGAGCCAAACTAAGCATATGCAAAGACATAGAAAATGGTATAATGGACACTGGGGACTCAGAAAGGGGTAGGGGGAAGTGGTGGAGGGACAAAAAAAAAATCACCTATTGGGTACAATGGGCACAGGTAGGGGTGGTGGGTACTCTTAAAGCCCAGACCAACAACTATTTGTATTCCCCAAAGGTACTGAAATTAAAAAAAAAACAATCAACAACAACAACAAAAGCACTTTTCTTGATGGAGCATATTTTAAACAATTAAATACAGTCTGTTGCAATTTTTAAAAAAAAGCTGCATTCCATGACTGCATTTCATTACTTTAGGTACATTTCTGCTACCTGTTGGGTCATTTAAACATTTACAAAGGGATTTCATTTGATTGTCATTTCAACACATGTTTTCTGGTTGTATAAAATTTTTTCCCATGCACAAGAGCTGATGTCGTAACAGTAGCTAAAAGATGAATAGAAAGTGTGTTTTCCTTATGGGAAATTGCTAGAGAACTGTTCAGTGATACAGGAACTTACTTCATTTGCTAAATTGTGAAATAGTTAAATAAAATATTAAAAGATACAATAGCAGTAGGCAAAGCCAATTGAATTCTTTTGATTATCTTAGTCAAAGATATTGCAGATTGTTGACAATCAGATCCATTTCAAGTGGAAAACACAAATTGATTCCTTATAAAATAGTCACTGGAAGGTATATGCACCTAATGATGGGATCTCATGTAACTTCTTCTACTAAACTCTGATGACTAACTGCTGCAAACCTTTAATGTATTATGCTGAAGTGTATTTTCACAAGGTAAAGAAAGTTTTTAATGGTTCACTTACTGAGGACAATCAAACCTTTCACAATCGGAACCCAAAGATTGAGTCTTTTAAGAATATCATCAGAGAAACATTGCCCATTCCACCCATACTGCAGCAATATTTTAGGACGTTGAACTTTGTGTTCATAATCTGACATCTCTGAAGGTCTTCTCCAGACTCTTGGAACAGTACAGCCATTTGGAAACTTTAAGGTAAAGCTAACTGGGGAAATTTCTCCTCAGAAACAATCAGCATTCTAGATGTACACAGCTTTTTTCCAAGATCATAGATCAAGATTTCTCTGCTATCATAAGATTATCATCTCTTAATTTTTTTGCTAATGACTCTATGAATTATGTAACTGAAAAGGGTTTTTAATTTTTTATTCTTAAATTCTGAAGAATAACTGGAAGTTTTAGAGAAAGGAAAACTCACCAAAAATATAGAAAGCCATGGGCTAGCCCAAGATTTACAGATGACTCCAGTCACAAACAGAACAATGAAGAGTTACAGTATATGTCCAAAATTATGATAAACTGAGAGTGGTGCTAGGAACCTAAGTTTTGGTCACACTTTCACCTAAGTGAGAATCTGACCAAAAGAGGAGAATTTGTAAACAAAATTATGGGAAGTCATTGTTTTGGACTGAGGTCATGAAGTAGGCCCCAATAGATCAGATCGAACCAAAATGGAGTCATTCATGCTAAATGTGACATAACCAAACTAAAATTTTAAAGAAGCAGATAGGTTTTAAAACAAACCATGCTATGTTTGTCTCTTACAAACAAAGGAGATTCCAACAAAAGGAGGTCTCATCTACTCTAAACCTTAAAAAGAAAAATTACCTGATGTCTTTGTTCTTTCCTTATAAAACTGATTGTTCTGCTATTTTTCAGTGGGATTTGAGACCAAATAAGTACATCTACAATAATGACAGATGTTAATGCCTAAAGTTTTGGTCAGTTCCTCAAAATTGAGAGGTTGACCTAAAAGGGAAAATTGTTAAATTAAGTTTATCAATTTACAGTATATAAGGAGGCAGTTTGTTTTAAAGTTCACCTAAAGGTTTCCCTGTACATGGTGAACTGTAACTGGATATGTAAACAGGTTATAACCTACTCTTGTGCCAATCATCAAGCTTCAGCCAGTCAAAGGCAGTCAACTGTTCAGACCATGTTCAAGCAAGTTGTGAGCTATAGCCAATGCAGCTGTTTCTGTATCTCAGTTCTGTTTTCAATATCTCACTTTTTTGTCCATAAATCTTGCTCGACTATGCAGCTGCATCGGAGCCTCTCTGAACTTATTCCTGTTCAGAGGCTGCCCTACTTGTAAATTATTCTTTGCTCAACTAAGCTCTATTGCATTCAATTATCTAAGATGTATCTTTTAACAGAACAAACACACGGATTCCTACCTGTTTCCTTATTTAATATTCAAACAAAATACCACTCAGCATATTTACTATTTATTCAGAAAAACCCTTCATTTCTTCATATGTTTCTTAATATGCAACTAACAGAAAGTTTAGAGACTGGGACTATCTTAGACATACCCAAAGAAGCTTTACCCTGCACTTCCCTACTACCATTAAAGTTTCTCCTTGTTCAGTGAATGCAAAAACATGTGCAACTTCTTTCCCCAAAGTCCCAACAGTAGTTCAATGTTAAGAATTTATTGCCGGGCTCGGTGGCTCAGCCTGTAATCCCGCGCCTTTGGGAGGCTGAGGTGAGTGGATTGCCTGAGCCCGTGGGTTTGAGACCCGCCTGGGCAGCGAGACCTCATCTCTACAATAAATCAAAAAATCAGCCGGGCGTGGTAGCGCGTGCCTGTAATTCCGGCTACTCGGAAGGCTGAGGCAGAAGGATCGCCGGAGCCCAGCAGGTCGAGGCTGCGGTGGCCGGGAGCGGCCACTGCACTCCAGTCTGGGTGACAGAGTGAGACTCCAACTCAAAAAAAAAAAAAAAGAAAGAATTTATTACCCTTTAATAATGTAAACCCCCCCCCCAAAAACAATAGAAGGCTACCCTAACCTAGGAATAGACAGACAAACCTACTCATTCTTGGGAAAAACATGCCACACCAGAGCCAAGCAAAGGAAGAGAAATGACTTTTTTTGCCCCATGCAGTTATTTTCACAACTTAGACTAACAAGTCTTCATGGTTTGATCTTTGTATCGCCACTTTTCTCTCCAGGAGCAGTGTGTATGTGGGGGAAAGTGGTTTTGTAAATGAGTTTAAAATTTTTTTTTTTTGAGTTGGAGTCTCACTCTGTAGTCCAGACTGGAGTGCAGTGGCCGCTCCCAGCCACTGCAGCCTTGACTTAAATGAGCTTAAATTAATGGAGGAGTTAGAGAAATAGAGGAGACAAAAAAAGGAAATTAATATTTGCAGTATATGTAGTACTATGCAGAAGAGTTGCATGCAGTTTAGCAATATTCAAGAAACAAGTATTAAATGTCTCTGCTGTAACAAGTACTGGAGGTACAGATGGTGCCCCTGACTATGAGGACTTTACATTATATTTGAAGACACCAATTGTAAAATGAAAATACATATGAAAAATGATGTTATAAGAATAAAGACAGTCCTGTGACAAAGAATATAGGGAAGGGAAACTACTTTATTTACATTAGACAAACCAGAAAACCAGTTTCTTTGAATTTCTGAATATCACTGTAAATCTCCAATCTGCAGAGTGGTTAAATATGTTTCTCCTTTTCTTTCAGAACCCTGTGTATAACTGGAGTCCTGATATTCAGTGGATCATCTTAAGTTCCATGTTATATGGCTCATTCTTCATCCAATTTCCAGTTGGATACTTTGCTGGAAGATACTCTACAAAGAAAATGATTGGCTCTGCAATGTGCCTCTGCTCTCTGTTCAGTCTGCTCCTCCCACCAGCAGCTGAAGCTGGAGAAACTTGGGTCATTGTATGTCGAGTAGTCCAGGGAATATCTCAGGTAAGAAGATACTGCAAAAACTGAACTGGATTAAAATCCATGGCAAGTATTAGAGATTAAATGTCTTAATCTTTCTTATTTCAGGGGATAGCTTTCACAGTCCAAGGTATAATATGGGTCAAGTGGGCTCCTCCCCTGGAACGAGGCCGACTTATTTCTATGAGTGTGTCAGGTAAAGACTTAGAACTTAGAATGCTTGAATCCCATTTTCATCTCATTGTATCATGTTCTTCCTGAGAACCAAAATAAACTGTGTTTTGAATTGTTAAGAGCTTTTGAAATCATCTATTTTAGTATTCTTACTTTGAAGATGAGAAAGTCATTTACAATGAAGAGGCATTCTTATTCCAAAAACAGAGAAAAAAGGAAAAGCAAATATTTTATTATTTTCTTCTGATCAGTGTTACACTTTACAAATTTATTAACAGGAAATTATTTATTGCTACAGTGAGGCTCCATTATTTCTACATTCAGTTGCTTGCATTAACTAAGTGTGTTGTTTGTGCCTTCTGACTAGGGATTTTACTCGGATCCTTCATTGTCCGGCTTGTGACTGGAGTCATCTGTGATTCTCTGGGCTGGCCCATGGTCTTTTATATTTTTGGTGAGTTTTTTCCTATAAAATCTCAGTTATTATTAAGAAATTAAAAAGAAAAAATAAAAATAAAAACCTAATATAATTATATAAAGTTAAATACTAAAAATAATAAATTCCACTGAGGGACAGAGAGAAATCAACATTCATTAAGTTCCTGTCACAAACAAGGCATCATTCTTAGAACTACACATGTGTTTTTGTACATTATTTTTATAATTTTCTATAATGCAGGTGCTGCATTCTATAATGCTTTATATGAAATTTTTTTAGAAAGAGGTGGTCAACGTAGATAACTTTTCAGATTTCAAAAAGATAACATGAGTATACTCTTTATGCTTAACACACCAAGTATGATGGGGAGCGACAACTCTTAATCAAACACATTAATTTCTACAGTGAAAAATGAAATTAACACAAATTAAAATACATATAAGTCTATAAAGAATTGAGGTTGACGAATAAGTTATAAAGTACTTTTGACTTTCAGATCTTGATTTCATATTTGTGAATAAGGGATTGTGGATGAATGCTAGTATGGCCATTTGATAACTGAGAAAACATCTAAAGTCTTAGGTAATTTGCCCCAAATCATATACTCAGGGTAAATTCAGAAGAGTTTATTCACAGAGTGATTTCTTAAAGAATTAGATGTGAGATATGGTGGAATCACAGGGATAGTGCAGTAACCTGGGTCTAGCAATATGGAAGCCAGTACCATCCCCAGGTGCGGAGGTGACCACCAAGGAAGTAGGTACCAGAAGCCATAAGAGAGAGTTCTGTAGAGTAGGAGACCTTGAGAAGACCCATGATATTTCATAAAAGGACATATTGATTGAGGCAATCCTAGAAGGGAGATAACTAGGGTTTGAAAAGACAACTTAGCCTCACCCAATTCTCTTCCTCTTACCTATGTCTGGGACTTCTGTTGACCAAATACAACAAAAAGCAGAAGACATAGACATCTACTGATGTTCATTCAAGTCATCAAACTGTAGCCAGAGCAGGGTGAATAAGGGTGAAAATTATATCAATGGGACAAACAAGACATCCAATATACATAGTGAGCAGATGGCAGAGTCAAAATATGAAAACATGTCTTCTATTCTAAAAATTCCATTGCCCTTAATCACTGTGTTAGTCATCAGCAGTGGTAATGGTCAGTGTAGTGATGCGACACAAACCCCATATCAGAAAAGGGGCTGAAAAAGCTGGGACTATCTAGCCTGAAGAAAAAGGAAACTTAAGAAAGTATGCAGGCTGGGTGCAGTGGCTCACATCTGTAATCCCAGCACTTTGGGAGGCAGAGGTGAGAGGCAGAGGTGAGAGAGGTGGGCCTGAGTCCACAGGTTCGAGACCTGCCTGGGCAACTTGGCGAGACATCATCTCTACAATAAATCAAAAAATTAGCCGGGTGTGGTGGCACATGCCTGTAATTCCACCTACTTGGAAGGCAGAGGCAGAAGGATTGCTTGAGCCTAGCAGGTTGAGTTGCAGTGGCCGTGAGCGTGCCACCCCTACACTTCAGCCTGAGTGACAGAGTGAAACTCCAACTCAAAAAAAAAAAAAAGAAGAAGAAAGAAAGCACGCCTTGTAGGGTTGTTTTATAAACAAAATGCAGACCTGTTCTAAAACTGTACCAAGTATGTAGAATTTACAGGGAGCTAACATTTCACCTCCATGTAAAGAAAGCTTTTCAATAATTAATGCTGCATAATATTGCTGGTCAAAGGTTGAATGACATCTGATATTTGTGTTACATTCCTGCTGCAAGATAGTGTACAGCAATGTGTGCCACTTGTAGTTGTCATTGATGGCTACATGAAACTGAAAGGAAGGGACTACACATTATATATGATAACAGTTTTGCTTTGAATTGTCTCACATGCTTTCTCCTTATTACCGAGAATGGAAGAAAAAGGATTAGATGGCAGTGCTTTAAGGATTTAAGTATCTTTCCCCACAATCCCTTTATTGTGAATCGCATGTTACCCACAGATGTCTGCCTAAGTTATTAGCAGAGGCATAACCAAAACTAAGATTGCTTTTAAACTCCACTGGAATATTCTTGCCAATAAAAGTTAAACAAATCTAAATAGATACTGTTGTAAAGAATAAGACAATGTCTGCCGTTAAGCAGCTAATAATTGCTAGAGAAGACCACCAAACAGAATAAACTGAGTCACAAACTTACATTTGCACTTCACATGGCCTGATCATCTTGCTATGTTTATCTACCAAAGACTATTTCAAACTTCTCAATTCTTCTTAAATCTCTAAGTGGCTTCCCTTGCTCTGTCTTCTATCTCAAGTGACCTCCTTTTCATAAGGGAAAATATTGCACAACCTGTCTATTACCATTGCCCACATTTCCTAACCTCTCACTATCTCCTCAAATCACATCTGACTACTGTTTAACTCACTGTACCACAAACGTGGCCCTTGACGAGATCATCTATGGTGTCCATCAAAGATGTCCTGGGGTCCAGAAAAGAGGGCCATTGTCCTAGATTCCACACTGTAGAGAGCCCATTCTAGACAGTCTCCAGTCAGGCTTTCTTCAGATGGCAGAGAGTCTATGGGGACAGAAAAGTAGACTCCTTTAAGCCCATGAACCTTCTTCTACTCATCACTCCTGGAATGTTTTGCTCAAATAGAGCCAAAGTTTTTTCAGATCAACAGGACTTTCCCCCAAATCCATTGAATTAGGGATTGACTAAGGAAGTCAGGAGGGACTATTTGCAGAGGATGTGAATAGTGCATAATGGGAAGGCAAAGGTTTTTACAGACATCCAATAAAAACTCCTAGTGTTGTGGGAAAGGATCTGGGTAGGAACAAAAGTCAGACCTGAGACCAGTGGTCAGAGATTTATGGCCAAAATTCTAAATTTAAACCTTTGTTCAGGTCATTTTTTACCTCTGGCTTCTTTTGAAATTTTCTTTGGGATTTTCTGCAGTTGAATGTGATATACCTGGGGGTTCTTTGAGCCTTCTGTATCTGTGGTTTGAGGTCTATCATTAATTTTAAGAAATTCTCAGAAATACTGCTTTAAATATTTCTTTCGTTCTTTCTTTCTTCTTTTTCTAGCATTTTGCATTACATGGATGCTACATCTTTTATATTAGTCCTATAGTCTTGGATATTGTTTTGTGTATTTTTTTTCTTATTCTACCTTTGCAATTCAGAAATTTTGGAAATTTCTATTGCCATTTCTGCCAACATTTCCATCCAATTCTTTATTAAAGTTTTCAAGCCATTCCTTTTCATCTCAGTTTCTTTGACTCAGCCCTCCCTGCAATTAACTTCATCCTTCTGTCCATTTTTTTCTCAGATTCTTTTGCCAACTTATCCTCTTCTACCTGCTAACTCTTGTCTTTCATCAAAGCTCTGCTCCAGCCTCCTCCCCTAAGGCTATATTCCCTGCCTGGACAATATAACTCATGATTAGGGGGCCAGTTACCACTTATTAACCATAGGTCTCTGGACAAATACTTTGATCTGAGTCTCAGTTTTCTCATTTTGAAAAAGAGATAAAAATATCATTCTGTGAATATTTTGAGGGTTAAATAAAATAATCTCTCTCTCATCCAACAGAAAGTCAGCTCCACAAAGGTTTCTTTTTTGAGTTGGAGTCTCACTCTGTCACCCAGACTGGAGTGCAGTGGCCGCTCCCGGCCACCACAGCCTCGACCTGCTGGGCACCAGTGATACTTCTGCCTCAGCCTTCCAAGTAGCTGGAACTACAGGCATGCGCTACCACGCCCAGCTGATTTTTTGGTTTATTGTAGAGATGAGGTCTCGCTGCCCAGGCGGGTCTCGCACCCGTGGGCTCAGGCAATCCACTCACCTCAGCCTCCCAAAGGCGAGGGATTACAGGCTGAGCCACCGAGCCCGGCAAGGTGTGGTTTTTTTGTGTTTTATTCACTGCTTTATCCCCAATACTTAGAATAGGTGCTCAGTACATAATGGGCACTTAATCCATACTTGTCAAATGAATGAATGCATTTATGGAAGACTGGTGAGTACTACATATTTCCTGTACTAACAGAGGATTCTCCACAATCAGTTTATTATTATAAAAAACTCAAAGCAACAATCAAACTCTTGGATAACAGGCAAACTTTTGGATAACAGGATAATCACTGAAGCTTGAACTATCCCCAGTACTTAGAATAGATGCCCAGTACATAATGGGCACTTAATCCATACTTGTCAAATGAATGAATGCATTTCTGGAAGACTGACTGACATTTTCCTGTACTAAGAGAGGATTTTCCACAATCAGTTTATTATTATAAAAAAACTCAAAGCAACAGATACTTTGGCAAACTCTTGAATCACAGGATAATCACTGAAGCTCTGGCTATGTCTCAGGAACAAGGTTCAGGCCAAGATCTGAACCTGAAAGTCAAGTGGATGATTTTCAAGTCCTGTGCAGGGTCAGTTGTTCCAACTCAAGGAGGAAAACATTAGGAATTTGAAAAGATGAGAGTATGTGGACAAAGAGCCCAGCTGTCATAAATGGAGGCATGCAGAGGTTAGGAGTTCAGAACAGGGCAGAGGGGCTTACCACTATTTCTATAAAACTCACTCTGCAGGAGAGAGTCATCTGTTGATACAAGGAGGATTTAAAAATGTAAGCCTTATTGCAGTTTCAAAAATGAAGGAGGAGGTTCGGGTTCCTGGACTGATGCATTGAAAAATGCCAGTTTGTACAAAAGACTCACTACAAACAGACACTTCTAATTCTTACTTGTCTTGCTTTGACAGGTGCCTGTGGCTGTTCTTTATGTCTTCTCTGGTTTGTTTTGTTTTATGATGACCCTAAGGACCACCCATGTGTAAGCATCAGTGAGAAGGAATACATCACATCCTCCCTCGTCGAGCAGGTAGAACACAGAGCTCTGCATTGAGATCTCTCAGGTTCTGCTCCAAACTAAACATGCTCAAACTTGTCCTTATGTGCTAATAATTAATGCATTCCTTTCCAGGTCAACTCAAGTAGACAATTTCCACCTTTCAAGGCTATGATTATGTCACTTCCAATCTTAGCTATTTCTTTGGGTGTTTTCGCTTTTTCCTGTATAAATACTGTCATGTCAGTATATGCCCCAACTTTTATCAACTCCATGCTTCATGTGGATATAAGAGAGGTGAGCATATCATTTGTTTCCTTTTTAGCTTTATGAGGTACTCTGTTCGTTTCTCTGACTCTGATGACCCTAGTCTCAGCTCTTGCCCATCCCTAACAGTGGCTACTGATCTTTACCCGGAAACTCACTGTTTCCAATTTTTAAATGAAAATCACCCAGAACAAAAGCTATTGATATAAACGTGGTCTGGCCCAACAACAGCAATACACATGCACCCTTGTTTCCACACATTCCCTGTCTCCCATACTCTGTGTGAGTGCCCTTTTGCATTACTCAAGGCTCACCACCACCATTCTGTATGGAAACTGGGGTCCTTTGTCCTTCTCTGAAAGTCACTTAAGCTAGGTCCTGCCACTCTGCCCAGCTCTTACAGTCCTCTCTCTGGGGTAAGTTAATGGGTCTGGGCTATGAACCTAGGATTCAGGTGTTACTCTGAAAGACTGGCACACCCATTGCTTACCTGGTTTGGAAAATCACTGATGTCTGGAACCTTCTGTTGTTTGATACTATAATAACCAGACAAGACTCCTCTAGAAATGGAGTCTGGGCTTGTCACTTTGTGGCAGTCTGTAATGAACTTCAAGGAGAGCAGCCTGGAGACCAGCATAACAGTGAGGTCTTATAAACTCTTTCTGACTTAATTTTATCTTCCATGAAACCATAGAATAGTTACTAGGATTAATAGCAGTGGGTCCGATGTAAGCTCTATGTGCGTTTGCAAATATCATCATTATCTTTTCTGTCATTTTCCCCAGAATGAGTATTTTCCGGTCAGAATGGAATCTTCCTCTATTGTCAGTACTTTTAAGTTTCATGATCCAGAATGTGAAAACTTGACAGATTCTGACAAATGATACTGACCTCAAAACCATTTTTCTCTTTTTTGGTGTGACCCCATTGGTAATTTTTGTATTTTATGTTGTTGATTTACACATTTTAGATACTAAATTTCAGCATACAAATTACTTTGTGTATCAGTACTGCTTTACCCCTTGTACTCACTCCCAGAACAATGTTTCCTCTTCAGAATGCATTGGTGTCTGCCCTTCCCTATTTGTTTGGTTGGATTTGTGGTGTCCTAACAGGTCAGATATCAGACTTCTTCCTGACACAGAATATTCTCAGTGTAATTACCATCCGGAAACTCTTCACCACAATAGGTAAGGAACAGCCAGAACATTCAAGCACTTGGGGAAATACTTTACCCTAACTTCTAGGCACACCTAACTGTGTTGTCTGAATCACTCCCCAGGAATTATCTTTCCTGCAATCTTTGGTGTTTTCTTGCCTTACCTGGGTTCCAGCTTATACAGCATTGCCATTTTACTGATACTTGCTCATGCAACAAGCAGCTTTTGCTTCAGTGGAATATTAATAAATGGCTTGGATATCGCTCCCAGGTAGGGTTTTAAAAATATTTATTTTTAATTAACAATTCAATATTGTGTATATTGATTGTGTACAACATGATGTTTTAAATTATGGATACTTTGTGGAATGGTTAAATTGAGCTAATAACATATGTATTGCCTCAAATACTCATTATTTTATGTAAAGAACCCCAAATCTACTTTCTTGGCAATTTTCAAGAATACAATACTTGTTATTAACTATAATTGGCTGGATTTGGTGACTCAGCCTGTAATCCCAGCACTTTGGGAGACCAAGGTGAGTGAATTGCCTGAACCCACTGGTTCAAGACCAGTTCGGGCAACTTGGCGAGACCTCGTCTCTAAAATATATCAAATACTGGCCAGGCATGGTAGCACACGCCGGTAGTTCCAGCTACTTGGAAGGCTGAGGTGGAAGGATCACTGGAGCCCAGTAGGTCAATGCTGGGATGGCTGTGAGCATGCAACTGCACTCCAGCCTGGGCGACAGAGTGAGACGCCAACAAAAACAAAACAAAACAAAACAACACACACACACACACACACACATACACACACACAACTATAATCATGCTATACAGTAGATCTCTTAATTTTATTCCTTATATGTAAATGAAATTTTGTATCCTTTGACTAACATCTCCTTCCCACCCCTACTCAGTGCCTGATAACCATTATTCTACTTCCTACTTCATGAGTTCAAATTTTTAGATTCAACACATAAATGAGATCATGCAGAATTTTTCTTTCTGTGTCTGGTTTATTTCACTTAATCTAATGACCTCCAGGTGCATCTATGTTGCTGCAAGTGAAAAGATTTCCTTTATTAGGTCGAAGAGTATTCCATTGCGTGTGTATGAGGGATTATCCCCCCAAAACTAGAATAATCTTTTGGAGGATGGGCCTCATGTGGTATAGGCTTTCCTTGCTAGATAAGTGTTCTAGGAACACATCAACATCAGTGTACCAGCTAGTATTGGTGTGAGAGGCTGCATTCGGCTTCAGTCGAAGAATTTTTTTTGAGATTCTTCAACATATTTGCCATTTCATGATGGGTGATTTATGAGCACACCTGCCCACATTGTGTTGAGTGTTCAGCAGTTTTGACTAAAAAACCCATGACCCCCATGCCCCACCTTCCTTATTCATCTAATCTCATCATGACTGACTTTTTTTGTTTCCCCTTATGAAAAAAAGTCCTCAAGGGTAAATGTTTTGCCAGTGTGGAAGTGGCGAAACAAAAAAATGACAGAAGCACTAAAAGGCATCAAAATTGGTGAGTTCAAAAATGGTTTTGAGCATGGAAAAAGTGTCTCAATAGGTGTATTGCATCAAATGCAGAGTACTTTGAAGGTGACAGAAGTTTAAACATATAAGACTAAATATACAATTTTTAATAAATAAATTCAGTGTTTTTTGGGGTCCCCCTAATAGACCACATTTTTTGTTATCCATTCATCTGTTCATGGACACTTGGTTGATTCTATACCTTTGCTATTGTCAATAATACTACAGTAAACATGGGAATGCAGATATCTCTTTGACATACTGACTCCACTTCCTTTGGAATATGGTAGCTCTATTTTTCATTTTTTGAGGAGCTTCCATACTGTTTTTCATAATGACTGTACTAATTTACATTTGCACCAATGGTATGCAATCATTCCGTTTTCTCTACATCCTCACTAAAACTTATTTTTTGTCTTTTTGTTATCAATCATTCTAAAAGTGTGAAGGGATATTTCATTGTGGTTTTAATTTGCATTGCTCTGATGATTAGTGGTGTCAGGCTTTTTTATGTGCTTGTTTGCCATTGGCATATCTTCTTTTGAAAATTTCTTTTCAGGTGTTTTGCCCATATTTTAACTGAGTTGGATAAGTTCATTATATATTTTTGCTATTGACCCCTTATCAGATGTATGGTCTATAAATATTTTCTTCTACTCTTTAAATTGTCTCTTCAGCTGTACAGAAACCTTTTAGCTTGGTGTGATCCCACTTGTTTAGTTTTACTTTTGTTTCCTGTGCTCGTGTAGTTCTATCCAACAAATCTTTGCCTAGACAAATGTCAGGGAGTTTTTCTGCATGCTTTCTTCTAGTAGTTTTACAGCTTCAGGTCGTATGTTTAAGTCTTTATGGGTTTTGAGTGGATTTTTTGCACGGTGTAAGATAAGGGTCTTGTTCCATTCTTCATTCTTCTGCATGTGGATACCCAGTTGACCCAACATCGTTTATTGAAGAGGCTGTCCTTTTCCTACTGTGCATTTTCTACTGTTGAAAATTACTTCAACCTTAATGTGTGAATTTATTTCTGGACTTTCTATTTCATTCCACTGATCTATGTATCTGCTTTTATTCAGTTCCATGTTGTTGTTGTTTTTCTGTTTTTCTCTTTTTAGATAGGATCTTGCTTTGTCACCAAGACTTAAATGCATAGTGGTACAATCATAGCTCACTATAGCCTCAAACTCCTGGGCTCAGGCAATATTCCTACATCAGTCTTCTGAGTAGCTGGGACTACAGGGATGTACCACTATACACAGTTAATTTTTAAACATTTTTGTAGAGATGGGGTCTTGTTATGCTGCCCCTATTGGTCTTGAACTCCTAACCTCAAAAGATCCTCCTGCCTCAGTCTCCCAAAGTGTTAGAATTACAGGCTTGAGCCACTATGCTTAGCCCTATTTTGATTATTATAAATTTAAAGTTTGTTTTGAAGTCAGATAGTGTAATGTCTTTAGTTTTGTACTTTTTAGTCAAGACTGCTTTGACTATGCAGAGTCTTTTGTAGTTTCATATAAATTTTAAGATAGATTTTTCTATTTCTCTGCAAAAAGTTGTTAGATTTTTTTTTTGTGTGTGTGAGAAATCAGGATTTATGGAGAGGACAGAAAAGCTCCCACAGCAGGAGGGGACCCGAGGGGGTTGCCAAGTTGTCAGAATTTTGACAAGAATTTCATTGAATCTTCAGATTGCTCTGGGTAGTATGGCCATTTTAACAATATTAATTCTTCCTATCCATGAACACAGGATATCTTTCCATTTATTTCTGTCTTCTTCAATTCTTTTCATCAATGTTTCATAGTTTTCAGTGTTTTCACCTACTTGGTTAAATTTTTTCCTAAGTATTTTATCTTTCTTGTAGCTATTGGAAATAAGATTGCTTTATTTGTTTACATAGTTTGTTGTAGCCAGGTAAGGTTTTTAAAATTTTTCTTACTGAACCCAAGCTCTCAAAGGCAGGACTTCTTTTTCTTTTCTTTTCTTTTCCTTTCCTTTCCTTTCCTTTCCTTTCCTTTCCTTTCCTTTCCTTTCCTTTCCTTTCCTTTCCTTTCCTTTCCTTTCCTTTTCTTTTCTTTTCTTTTCTCTCTCTCTCTTTCTCTCTCTCTTTCTTTCTTTCTGGTATAAATTTAAGGAGTACAAATGCAGTTTTGTTACATAGATATATTGTGTAGTGGTGACGCCTGGGCTTTTAGTGATACTACCATCTGACTGATGTACACTGTACTAATTAATTTCTTATCCTTCACCCACCTCCCATCCTCCCACTCTTCCTTATCTCCAACGTCTATTATTTCACACTCTATGTCTGTGTGTACACATTATTTAGCTTCCACCTATAACTGAGAAAATGCAGTATTTGACTTTCTGTGTTGTTTCACTAAAGAAAATGGCCTCCAGTTCTATCCATGTTGCTGCAAAATACATAATTTCAGTCATTTTATGGATGAAAAGTATTTCATGATGTGTGTCTATCTCTATCATCTATCTATCTATCTATCTATCTATCTATCTATCTATCTATCTATCTACCTGAGTTGTATATAGAGTGCCAAAAATATATATACAGGAAAAAAGGAAAGGAAAAAAACTGTATTAAAATTGTAATACTCAATATATACCAATAACAAAAGATGAATTCAAGTCACATTTGACTGCTGCAATTACAAGAGGTAATACATAGATAACATCTCTTAAAGTGTGCATATATTTTTTGGCACCCTTGGGATTTATATATATAATTTTTTTTATCCAGTCATTCATTGATGGAAACTTAGGTTGATTTAGCATTTTTATTATTGTAGGTAGTACTGCAATAAAGATATGAGTGTAGCTATCTTTTGGATATAATTATTTCTTTTCCTTCAGGTGGATATCCAGTAGTGGGATTGCTAGATCAAATGGTTTTTCTATTTTTAGTTCTGTGAGAAATCCCCATACTGTTTTCCAAAATAGTTACACTAATGTATATTCCCACCAGCAGTGTAGAGTGTTCCTTTTTCTCTTCATCCTTGCCACTATCTGCTTTTCCCCCCTCTTAATGATAGCATTCTGACAGGTATAAGATATCTCATTGTGATTTTCATTTATATTTCTCTGATAATTAGTGATTTTGAACATTTTTTCTTTTGTTTGTAGGTCATTTGTATATCTTCTTTTAAGAAGGGTCTATTTATATCCCTTTCTCACTTTTTAATGGAATTATTTGTTTTGTTTTTGTTGATGTTGAATTGTTTGCATTCCTTGTAATCTGGATATTTCAACTCTTTTATTGTCCATAGCCAGCAGGTCAAAATTTCTGAACAAATATCTATATAATTCAGACATAATCATTAATAAGTATGTATCCAATGATATATTAGGTGTATGCACTTGTATGGGAAGAATTGTAGCCCAGTGAGAAGCACAGATTTAGAGTTAGTTTACTAAATTTCAATGTTAATATGGCCATTTACCTCAAGCACATTACTTATCTTATCCGTTCTGATTTCCTCATGTATAAAATAGAGGAAATAAGAGAATACTTACCTCTTAAAGTTATTAAAAAGTATTAAGTAAGTTAATATAGGTCAAGTGCAGAATAGTTCCTGGCATATCCCGGCAAAAACGGTATAAGGGTTAGCTACTCCATCACCATTGCTATAATAACTATGCTTATGCATATTTAATTATCATGACAACCCAAGTGCTAGTCATATTTATCTTATAATTAAGAAGACTAAGGTTCA